CCCCAACAAACAAAAGTGAGTGATGCAAAGAGTTTCTTTTCATGATTTTATCACTCTAGACCTAAGATGGGTCTCTAAAACAACAAATATTAGCACATCAGAACTTCAAATTCAATTCTAACTTAAATTTAAAAGGCTTCCCTAGAACTTTGTTGCAGTTTTCTTAGCACAATTAGAACTAGCTCCTGAGGCACACTTCCGAATTTCAAATGTCTTTTATCGAGTGTCCTGTCTTAGCCTCAGACCCTCCAGGCAAAGGGCAAGTTCCCTATAAAAGTGAGCCCTGCAACCCAGGCTTTTCTCAAAACCAGCTTCTGATCAGGATTTTACAAAATAAAGGATCACAGAAACCCAGAATGCTTCCTATCCTGGGCTTCCACGTAATTCCAATCAGTTTGTCTGCCTACCTTGGTCTCCCCCTTTCCTTGCACCAATGCAATTCCTTTGGCCACTCACTGTGCTTTTGAGTCACTTAAGGCAACAGAAAGTGTCAAAAAACCTGACAGGCAATTCCCTGGTTTCCGCTAGCTTACTGAACCGACATGGCTCCGTATGCAGTCAAAAAACAGCGAGTGCCACCACAAGCAGGTACTCATCACTGAAGACAAGAGGGTGTCAGGAGTGCCAAGTTTCATCAGTTTGTGCCAATACGTAGGCAGTCTCAAATACACGTTCTGCTTTTCCAAATTAGCATTTTTGGGTTTAAATTAAGATGAAAACACTTTTTTTTTTTTTTTTTTTTTTTTTGCATCCAGAAGAAACAATCAGAAGAGAGGAAAACAATTTTGCAGTGCAACACTAAAGATGCTGCTTTTATTTACTTTAGAAGTACGTTTGGTTTTTACTGCATGCATGTTTAAGGTGGGATACTAGCTTGGACAAAATACTTTTCCAGCTTGTCTGGAAATTGACCGCTAGACCACAGTTGAAATCAGAAGTCAGAAATCAAGTATGTTCCACCAACTTTTTCCAGTTAAAGTCAGTTAAGCCTGTAACCGCAACGAAACACAAGGCAGACAAACTACTGTTTTTTTAACCTTTCTCTACATCAAATACAAATATTCACATAAATATTTTTGCATATATTTTCAAATCACAGTCCAATCTACCTACATTTTAAAAAAGTGTTTTTACATTCAGAACTGAAGCATTTTCTCCGACCTTTATCTCAGTTCATAACTCCAGGCACATTTTTCTGAGGAGCTGACAACGTTACAAGGTCTTTAAACAAGGAATTATAGAAATTCAACATCTCATTACTTGAGATACTTGCTTAAAACAATTAAAAGACAGTATCTGACCCAGAATAATACGTATCATATTAAGTTTATGCAGATAAGACTAAGGAGGTCTCAAAAACGCCGGAGGTCCAAGGTATTATAGATACTTTATGCTTTCTAAATTTCTTCTCCAACAAATCACAAAACATTTGGCTAGAAAAGGGAAGATCCGTTATCAATCACGAAAACAAACCAGCAACACACTTAAAAGTTTTTCTCTTTGAATGCCCACACACATGCAGGGTGTTTACATTATGCCCTAGAAATTATAAACACACAACTACAAGAGTCTGAAAACCATACTCAAAATGGAAAGTCAGAAGAAATGCACACAAACACAATGCATGTGAAATTTAACTTTTATTATTCCGTTGATAAAACCCAAAGATCCCTCACAGCAGCAATAGATGCAGAAGTTATCTGCAGAAATGATGCCTCTTCTCAATCTGTCTGCACACCCAAGTATGCCAAGTGTGTAAGGACTGCAATTAACACAGTACAGGCACTGCTCAGTAGTAACAGAGATCAAGTTTCTTGGCAAATTTTTATCCATTCTTTCCTTAATATTATAGAGTTTTCATAGTATTAAAGATGACTGTTAATGAGTTGTCTGTTTATTGGATTTTTTGTTGTTGCAGTTTAAAAATTTTTAATTAAATTCTACATGTACAATTTATATGTCCAGGGACACCTCCCCACATTGTTGTAGTAGTTGACAAACTGTATCCAAACGCTATCATTCTGAATGAAAATGCTACTGCATTTAGCAGCTCTAGCTGCACTAGAGTAAACAGTTCCTTAGAGTAACAAAACACACCTATTTGTTCAGTAACACAAGGGATACAGGTTTCAAAATGCACATTTCTATCTTGTAACCATACCTTTCTTTAATATAGATATATTTATATATAGCTCTAAAACAAATCTCTACTATTTTACAATTAAATTAAAACACATCCACAATTGGTCTAACTAGCAATTTTGGTCTCAATACTTTAAACATTAGTTGTTCCATAAAAATATACAATTCAACGACATGGTTGTATCAGTAACATGAGACCTTTTGAAAGAGGCCTATGTCACAAAATCAACCACACAATTCAGTGCTCAATATCATCCAACTGATAAATACTTCTACTGCATTTTCAAACTATCAGTACCTTTAAAATCCAAATTTCTCTTTGCAGGCTTACCATGCTTACAAGCATGCAGAAAGCAATCACATTTCTCACTTGCCTGTAGCAATCACATTTTTTATTTTCCAACAGATCACCTGACAAAAGCACAAATGTCATGCTGTCATTTTTAGATCACTAACCTTTTCCTTTCTTTCACATACTGAATTATTTCACCGTGGATCATACTGCTCCATGTGAAAAGATTAGGGATTAGCCACATAGTAAGAACTGCACTTTTCAGTTTAAGCTTCTAAGAATCAAATTACTAACAGTCAATTAGGATGCACTCATAGCTGCCATACAAGTAAACAGACACCCCGTAGACAATCAAGTTAATTCTAGATATATATTAGAAGGAGAACCTTTAAAAAAAAAAAAACCAAACGAACCTAAGCTACGCAAGTACAGCCTCAAACCTGGTAGATTCCAAGCAGCAGACCTCTGTCCAGAATAAGTTTCTTCAAAACGGCACACAAAAACCATGCCACCAGCAACCCTGCTTGAGATAAGACATTAATCACTTACACCTGGAGATTTCCTCATTACCACCACAGCACCATTCCACATCAAGTTTGATAGCAATGGTGACGTAGTACTTCTTTCATACAAACAAGAACCCTCCAAGTCAGAGCAGTCAGTAACAAAACCCCAGACAAGTTCACGTGTCAAGGTAACCTGACATACTCGCCTCAGAACATTACTGCAATAATCAATAATTTAGGTATAACTATTCCAAGACCAATACAGTCTGCAGATAAGACTACAACAGAACATACTAAAAAACAGGAGAAGTATGACAATTAAGATGAATATTTCTTTTAAACAGCAGAAAGTCAGGGAAATATCTGGAATTCTTTTGCACTGCATTAATGTATCTTCTGTTTCTAAATATAAAAATACATCCAGAGAGTCAATCCAGAACTGCATACGCAATTACATTTTTCCCCTTACTGCTTTAAAATTAGTACAAAATAAGTTACAGGAATGATTGTTGCAAATCTGTAAAAGTCCGCTATTATAAAATCATCATATGAGAACACCAACTGTAAATTATTTACAGGCGAGGTAATACAATTGCCAGAGTAATGAATTACAATTTAGCAGAAGTGTAAAAATAATGTACTCACCAAAACATTACAAAATCTGGTATAATTATCAGCTACACAGTAGATCATGATTAGGTTTTGTAGTTGATATACAACATACTCTTAAGAAAAAAGTGCCAAAATACTGCTACATAAGAATCTTTTTTCCCCAAAATCATTCAGCAAAAAAAAAAAATCTGCAGATTCTATGTTAAGTAATGCCAAAAGAAACAGGAAAAAAGGGATGCCAATTGTAGGAATAGGTCTTATTGCCTTTGAAAAAATGTGTAAATTCCCTTTCATGCTTGAAAGTCTGACATGAAAGACTTACTAAAAAAAAAATCAATAGCAATATCAACATATGCACTTTTTCAGGGTATCTTAGGCCATTTTAAAAGCACACATTCCTTTTAAACTGTGAAACACATGGAGACTGAAAACATTCTAAAAATGGCTGAACTGCCAAGGGGTGTTGTGATCAGTGGCACAAAGTCCTGCTGGATGCTGGTTGCTACTGGTGCGCCCCAGAGGTCTGTACTGGGGCCCGTGCTGTTTAACATTTTCATTAATAACACCGGTGACGGGACAAAGCACACTCCCTGCGAGCCATTTCAGGGGGACCTTGACAGGCTGTAGAAATGGGCAAACAAAAATCTCAAAGTCCAGCAAAGGAAAGTGCAAAGTCCTACACCCGGGGAGGAATAACCCCACGCAGCAGTACAGGCTGGGGGGCTGACCAGCCTCGCAGAGACCAATACCAAGCTGACCGTGAGCCACCAATGCACCCTTGCGGTAACAGAAGCCCAGCAGCCTCCCGGTCTGCATTAGGAAAAGCACTGCCAGCAAGCTGAGGGAGGTGATTCCTCCCCTCTGCACAGCCCTGGCGAGACTCAACTCCAGTGCTGGGTCCAGTTTTGGGCTTCCCCGTTCAATACAGACACGGGCACTCGAAAGCAAGTCCAGTGACCAGTCACAAAGGTGATTAAGTGATTGGAGCATCTGACAAACAAGGAGAGGCTGAGAGGACTGGGATTGTCTAGCCTGGAAAAGGCTCAGGGTTGATCTTACAAACGTGTGCAAGTGCCCCATAGGGAGGCGTAAAAAAAGAGCCAGACTGTTCCCAGCAGCATCCAGTGACCGCACAAGAAGCAATGGCCACAAATGGAAATACAAGAAGCTCCATTTAAACATATGACTGGACCTTCGTAGTGTGAGGGAGATCAAAACACTAGAACAGGTTGCCCAGAGATGTTCTGGAGTCTCCATCCTTGGAGAAGCTCAAAAACACAGCTTGTCACAGTCCTGAGCAACCTGCTCTAGCTAACCCTCCTCTGAGCAGGGGGGTTGGACTAGATGATCTCCAGAAGTCCCTCCAACATCAATCATTCTGTGATTCTATGAAAAGGACAGTGTCTTTTGTAGCCCAAGCATTGGATGAACTGAGTCACAAAGCAAACTACAAAATGTAAATGGAATATATTTTCTCTTTAAGTTATTGCATACAATGTTAATTTTGCTGCCTGCGTTTTGCCGATCTCATTTTTTCAAATCTTGACTCCATTTCTTCCAGGACCTTTGGTGTGTATCGCACAACTAATTTAACCTTTCCTTGAGCTGCCTTCAGCAGTTCTACTGCTTTTTCATGGTGTTCACCTTCGACACTCTGCAGAGCAAAAAACATTAAGTATAATATTAGTAGTGACACACACTGAAAAGAAATTTTTTAAATTTTTTGTACAACTTCTGCATAATCAGATATTGAAGTATTCTAGTTTGAAGACTGCACAAGGACATCACCACCCAAGTTCAGGATTTATTCTTCAGCAAATCAATGAGGTGATGATAAACATACTAATTAGTATCACCAAAAGAGCAGTGCAACACTTTTGGTTAGGTTTATGCTGAACAATTAAATTCTCTATTTACATACAATAAGTGAAATAAGGATAACATTATGCAATTATGAAATTACACTCAAAAATCAACAACTTCAAGACGACACATATACAATTCAAGATTGTTCTTCTTGTGGCATGCATTTTCAATTCAATAGTCATCCTCAATTTGCCTAAGTTGCCACAGACAACTGCAAGATAGCTGCCTTCCTGATGTCATCCTGTGTTACGACAAAGCAAAACAGCACATACTGGGCACCTGCAACAGAGCAGCTAACATGCAGTGTGTTGCTTATCTTACTGCTCCCCACACCTCTCAGTAAATGCAAGGTATCCAAGTTAATTTCCTCTAAACTGAGTAAGAACAGCCTAACCCAACTCAGTAAGAACAGAATGGAAGTACTTTCCTGAAACAACACTCAGAATGTATTAGGGTTATATTAGGTTAATCTAATTATAAATTGTAGGCAGCAATTCTCAACAACTGCAGATATACATTCCTGGACAGCATACATTTTATCAGCAAAAATTATTTCTCCCAAACTTATTAAACACAATGACAGGACTACCCCAAGCCTACCTCCCACTGGTGCTATTAGAAGCTAGAAGGCAGGTGATGTACCTGTTGATTGGAGGGTTTCCCCGTTACTATAAAGTTACTTACAGAAAGAAAGACAACAGTTAAAAAAAAACCCCAAGTTATTTCTCTTCTATCAGACTTAGACAACACATACATGTGAATGTTTTCATTTTTGTTATTCAAGTGCATGTGTAGGCTGTTCTGTTTAAGACTGGTAATAAAAGGTTTGTAATGTTCTATGGTTAATTATATCAAAACACCTAAAATTCTGGAGTACACTCAAAATCTCCCAGCTGAAAAAAAATTAAATTTGTTTTAAGGCACATTCACTGCAGTCTTGGCAGCGGCAATTTTTAAGTATTAAATTAGAAATTACAATAAGAAAATGTCTGTCATATGCATTAAGATGACAGGATTCCATCTGTAAACATCAGAAGATGATTCTTCTGAGACCACATTAGCATTCTCAACAGTATTTTATGCACTCAGGTACTGTATTCTTACAACAGCTATAAATATTTATACATGTGCATGCACACACACACACACAGTCACTGTTAGATGTACCAACAGTCTGATGATGGGGTTCAGTTTGGGGTGGAGTGGTGGTTTTGTTTTCTTTAAGAGGGTCTGTGGGTGAGGAAGGCCTCATCTGACAACAGTTCTACACCTGTCCCTCAATGGTGCAAAATAATAAAGAGGCTAGGCCAAGGACAGTTGTATCACTAGGGCCATAACTTCTCTTCCATCTCCTGAAAAGGGCAGTTGGACTTCCAGAAGACAGTCAGGAGACAAGTATGTCAGATCTGTGCTAGCAGGGACTTCCAAACACACAGTAAGTCTTCATTCTTTTCATGTATCAAAGAAAAACCCAAAAACCACTTGGGTTAAAGAGCACAAGACTCAGTTAGACCCTCAATCTTAAATAAAATTGGATTTGCAGTTTTAATTATGAGAACATTAATTTTAAGCTAGCATACATCTTCTTTGTAAGTGAAGGCAAGAGTTTGAGAGATATTTACATGTATTTGACTAAGAGCTGCCTTAAGTCAAAGCCTGACCATAGCCTCCTCTTCCCAGTCACCCTGTGTTTTGCTTTTTGTATTATAACTCTTCAGAACAGGATACTTATTAAAAATAAATATCCACAACAGCACTTTAGACATATACCCCTTAAAATATGCCAGAAAGCCTCTGTTTTTGAAGCTCAGTACACATAAGTATAAAAAAGAAATTCCACACAATTGAAGATAAAACCACCTTGTAGTTCCATCTTATTACAGCTTTCATTATGCAGTAGCATTTTTATTGGGATAATGAGAATCTGGTCAGTCTACGGCAACATAGCATAATTTACTACTTACCTTAGAAAGTGCAGAAAACTACATTAATTAAAATCTGCATCATGAAACTTGGATGAAAGAAGAAGTCATAACTGCAGTTTAATACTATTTCACAAAACAACACTGACTAGACTTATACAACCCCTCAGAATCTGAAATACTGACATAAATAGCACAGTTCCCAGCTGAGACAGATAACCAAAGTATAACTCTAGAACTCTCAGTGCACCCAACTCTATAGAAACCTAAACAAGCTGTTCCTGCAAGGACAAAACGAAGCTATTTTGCCAAGATTAAAAGACGACCTCGAGCTTTTGCCATATATATTCTCTGTATGCCCCCAAGTGGAAACAAGGAGCTACTGCTACATAAAGTGAAAACCGATTCCTACCACTCCGTTTACAGAAAGCAGCTGGTCTCCGCGTTTCAGGCCTCCATGTCTATCAGCTATACCGCCAGGGATAATTCGAGAGATATAGATTGGAGAATTTTGTTCTTTGCCTCCCATAATGTTGAATCCGAGACCTTCTTCAGTTTTGGGTAGTTCAACCACTCTGGGATGGGAGTGACCTTCACTAGCAGCAAATGCAGCTACAGTGGCCTGTAAGAAACAAGATTTTCCCATTTATAAGAAATTAAATATAGAGCCCTAAACTAGACAGAGTGAGAGGCTGAAAAAGTATTTTTATCTCTAAGTACTTAAATATTAAGACAAACGAGATTAATTCCTTAGCTTCCAACACTAGCACGAAAAATTTATAACTCCAAGAATAAAAATAAAATGGAAGAAACTTATAAATAATGTCTTTTGTTATACCTTTTAATAAGCTTATCCATTTTATGACACATCTAGATAACATCTGTCTGAAATTTAAATGATCATCCTCTGTTTCCGAAGTAACAAACTACTGTGTTTTACACAAGTTAATAGTTTGGTTTTTACCTTTGCTGTTGCATTAGCTCTGACTTCTGGGCTACTGCTGATATCCACAGTTTCATATACATGTTCATACACCTTTAGAGACAAAACAGTTTAAGTATGGGGAAAACAGATATTTTTCTGTTTAGATAATATAACAAAATACACGGTACAATCATAGAATCATAGAATGGTTTGGGTTGGAAGGGACCTTAGAGATCATCTAGTCCAACCCCCCTGCCATGGGCAGGGACACCTTCCACCAGACCAGGTTGCTCAAAGCCTCATCCAGCCTGCTCCAGGGGTGGGGCATCCACAGTTTCTCTGTGCCAGTGCCTCACCACCCTCACAGGAAAAAAATTCTTCTAATATTTAATCTAAATCTCCCCTCTTTCAACTTAAAACCACTACCCCTCATCCTATCACTACACTCCCTGATCAAGAGCCTCCCCATCTCTCCCATAGCCCCCTTTCAGCACTGGAAGGCTGCTGTAAAGTCTCCCTGGAGCCTCCTCTTTTCCAGGCTGAACAGCCCCAACTCTCTCAGCCTGTCCTCATATGGGAGGTTCTGATCATCTTTGTGGCCCTCCTCTGGACTCGCTCTAACGTTGATTAGAGTTGAGTTGTGCTGAGGACCTCAGAGCTGGGTGCAGTACTGCAGCTGGGGTCTCATGAGAGCAGAGTAGAGCGGGAGAATCCCCTCCCTCAACCTGCTGGTCACAGGATGCAGCCCAGGACATGGTTGGCTTTCTGGGCTGCAAGCCCACACTGCTGGCTCATGTACAGCTTCTCATCAACCAACATCCCCAAGTCCTTTTCCTCACGGCTGCTCTCAATCCATTCTCCGCCCAGCCTGTATTTGTGCCTGGGATTGCCTCAACCCACGTGCAGGACCTTGCACTTGGCCTTGTTAAATTTCATGAGGTTTGCACAGGCCCACCTCTCACGCCTGTCAAGGTCCCTCTGGATGGCATCCCTTCCCTCCAGTGTGTTGACTGCACCATGCAGCTTGGTGTCATCAACAAACTTGCTGAGGGTGCACTCAATCCCACTGTCCATGTCTCCAACAGAGATGTTAAACAACACTGGTCCCAGTACTGACCTCTGCAGAATGCCATTTGTCACCGGTCTCCACTTGGGACATCAAGCCATCTTTATTGCTCAGTTAATCCCTGCAAATCTAGGTCTCAACCTAAATCTTCCCTCCTTCCACAGCATTCAGACCTCACTATTAATTTAGAAATGCTTATGGCGAGTCTAACACACCTGACCGGCTACATACATAACTACCGTCTCTTGTTTAATTCATGCTGGTACTCTTCGGTAATGATGCACACAAGATCACTTAAGGACAGCTCTTCAAAGCTCTCCCAACAACACAACCTTCCCCCCAAAACCTCATATTTTCCTTCAACTGACGCAACTGACTGAATATCTTAAGAAAAAAAAGCTATCTAAAACACAGGGACAGTAACAATACTAACACTAAGGACAGGGCTACACTGAGGGCTAACCCACACCCTCACATCTACCTGACAGTCATTTGGACTTTCTAAGCAATAAACACAGTCCTTCATCGGATGAAAACATTAAGGTGACACCTGTGTCTACAAACAGATCTTTTAAATCATTCCAGGTGTTATCATCAGTGACAGCACCAACAGCAATAGGAAGGCATATTCAACCACCTACAAGTCTCTGAAAGAGCATCTGGGATGAAAATGTGGTGGTGCAAGGCCACACCTCAAGGTGATGTGGATTTGGCTTAGAAGAAACAGAAGCAATTCATACATTGTCCATTCTTACATTCCAAGAAGATAACAGCCTGCTAGCTGCCAGTAAGAACAGACTCTCAAAATAACCTCTAAAAAGTGATTTGTTCCTAAACAATTATTTAATATACCTATCCTATTCCAAGTTATCTTCTTTTGAACTTTCAAAAATAAGTCTTGTTCTATTGAGCTCTGTAAGTCAATTTCAGATTTGAGAAAGAACAAAAGTCAGATTATTGTACTGAACACAAAATAGAAAGAGTAAAATGTACTGGTTTTCAACTCAAGGTAACTGCTTACATCAAGTTCACTTACCTCCCTTACAGCATTACAGAATTCACTTTGAAGGACTCTTTGCAAGGCCTGTAGCTTTTGTGGTGGCACTTCTCCACTTCTCTGCAATTTCTCCAGCAACTCAATTGCTCTGCAGATGTCTACAGAAAAATAAAGCAGTAGTAATGAGGAATGCCTGAGGAAATTCAAGGTGGTTTTTTTTTTGGTTGGGATTTTGGTTGTTTTAAACTAAATTAATAGAACACACTGTGTGTGTGCATTTGTGTACACCTTAAAGCTACATATTAGTTTCATTTCTCCCATAAAACTATGTATCTACAAAATGTTACAATAAACCACCACATTTTCCCACTACTTTTAAGTCGATCACAGCAATTCAACCCTCTAACATATCTGGAGGTATCACTGCCGTATGTATACTTTAAACACAATCTCAATTTTTTCTTAAGTTCAAATCAGCCTGAAATATTTCACTGATATATACACTATCAACATTTGGTATGTGCAACTTCATAATTTATCTACCGCACAGATAACATTTTGTTAAAACCAACTAGAATGTTGTCAAATATGCTAACGTTCCTATTATTTTAAGAAAAAAAAACCAACAGTTCAACAAGAGTTGAATG